TCCCGTCCAACTACTACTAATCGAGGGACTACTCCCACCACAACCCCACAACAGAGAGGTATAATAGCAGCACCACCGCCTAAGCAACATCATCAACAACAACATAGTAATAATAATAAGCACAACTGGAGTAGAAGTGCTGTATAATATTATTCAGAGCCTAGTGTCGTAGTAGCAGGTGGTGAAGTATGGGGTAATAATAACAGGAATAATAATACATGGGCAGCTAGAGCAGCAGCAGCAGCAACAGCAGGAGGAGCATCTAGTAGTAATAAGAGGTTAACAACATCCCCTACTACTCAAGGGAACACTACTACTACTACTCACCAACAACAAGTAACTCCTCCTACATCTACAACGATGCTGATGCCGCAAACGACGACATTCAATGCTAAGGAGGCTGCAGAGTTCTTACATAAGAGTAAGAAGATAGTAGTAATAATAGTTGATAGTAGTAATACTGGTAGGATATGATGCCACTAATGAGAGGTATATAGCATGGAGTCAGTTAGCAGAAAATAGTAGAAGGAAACAACAGCAAGGAGTAGATAATAGACGTAATAATGATGATGCTATATAAGTGTAGTATCCTACTCTATTATTATCAGAGACTGTGTATAAATATGTAGCTGAGAAAAGTTGGGGTAGTAGAGGTGGTAGTATGATGCCTGGTAAAGAGGATTTCGTACATCAAGTAATAGGACCAGCAACTACTACTACTATTACTACTTGTTGTTCTTAGTTGGAACAAGCTATTCTAATGATGTCTTCTGGGTCTGGTAAGAAGCCTACTCAAGTAGTGTAGATATCTAATACTACTATTCTTATACTTAACATCATAATCATAATCATCATCAGACTTACTGATGTTACTACAAGTACTACAACTATTTGGTGGGCTATGATAAGAGTTAGTACTGTTATTATCATTAACTTGAGTTAGAGTACCAATACAACGTTTATCCTACCTCGGTGTTATATAATGTAGTAGTAGTAGGGATAAGGTGGTAGTAGAAGAGGAAATTTCATAGGTTGTTGTTGTTGTTATTTGAGGTATATAGAGGATATCAATGATAGTAGGTACTCTGTTGTTGATTATGACTTTAATTATTATATTGAAGATAGTAGTGTCCTTATATCATAGCCGTATGAATAACATCATGAATATGTTATTATCTACTTATTCCTCTTACTCTTCATATCATCATAAGGAGGAGGATGTTTAAGATAATAAGTGTATACTTGTATTATTACTAATAAGTAGGGATATATTATTATTATATTAGTACTTTTCACTTAGTATACCGACTCAGTATACTATTCATCTTGTAGTAGTAGTAGTAGTAGATTAGGATGATAACTTTATTGATACCATCATGAGCATTTTAGGATTACTTAAA